TTACTCCCTTCGGTTTGTTTGAATTCCTGCACATACTATTCGGTCTTCGGAATGCAGCACAAAGATTCCAACGCTTTGCGGATGATGTCTTCCATGGTTTAGGTTTTGTCCACGTCTACATAGATGACTGTCTGATCGCGAGTTCAGATAAGGAAACTCACCTTAAACATTCGGACCTCGTATTCAACTTGCAGAAGTGTAAAATGGGAGTTGAATCACTCAGCTTCCTTGGGCATACCACTGACAACAAAGTTATACGCCCATTGAGAGATAAAGTGGCGGCTATCATGAACCATCCAGAGCCGACCACTGTGAAGCAGCTCTGCACTTTTAATGGCCTGGTAAGTTATTGCCGAAGGTTTATCCTCAACTGTGCCTCTATCTTGATACCAATCACAGATCTACTTCGACGGTTTACGAAGTGCGTGACTCTGAACAACGTGTCTAGACTTGCTTTCTCTAAAGTCAAGGAAGTCATTTCAAATGCAACCATGCTTATGCATTACGACCCCAATGCTCCTTTGAGTATTGCTGTTGATGCATCTGACTCAGCAATTGGAGCAGTTTTGCAACAGTTGACTGACAACCAGTGGCAACCGTTAGCCTTTTTCTCGAGGCGGCTGCATGAGGTGGAAACAAGATACAGTACATTTGGCAGGGAACTCCTAGCTATGCACTGTTCTGTACGCCATTTTCGACATTCGGTGGGAGGTCGTGATCTCATTATTTCCTCAGACCACAAACCGTTAACCTTCTCTCTTGGTTCGGCATCAGACAAATACTCCCCTCGTGAGTCGCGACAACTGGATTAAACTCCCCAGTCCACGTCAGATATCCGCCACATTTCTGGAGCAAATAACTCCGCTGCCGACGCACTATCTCGAGTAGCTTCGATAAACCGTATCGAAGGCGTTGATCTCGTTGAACTAGCTGGGTGTCAAAAAGAAGACCTTGAGCTGCACCACGAGTTGTCGTCCACAACTCTCAAGCTACAACTGTGTCCAGTAGGATCAGGCAAGGATAAAATTTTATGCGATTTCTCTGCTAGTCAATCACGCCCAACAGTTCCGAAGAGATGTCGATGCAACGTCTTCAATACGCTGCACAAACTGTCCCATCTAGGTGTACGAGCCACCATCAGGCTTTTTGCACAAAGTTTCTGCCGACCGGGAATGAACAAAGACGTCAAGCAGTGGGCTCAGTCGTGCTTAGCTTGTCGAAATTGTAAAGTCACACGACACACACAAAGCCCTTTAGGTTCTTTTCTAGCCCCAGACATGCGTTTCGACCACGTCCATACGGATATTGTAGGACCTCTACCAGAATCTAGTGGATCTGCTTACCTTTTCACCTGTGTGCATCGTTTTACGCTATGGCCAGAAGCAGTACCTATTGAGGATATTACTGCTGAAACTGTCGCTCGTGTTTTCGTCGGAAGATGGATTGCGAACGTTGGATGTCCATCATATGTAACAACTGACTGTGGGCGCCAATTAGAGTGTGGATTATTTCACGCTTTAACTGCGCTTTTAGGTTGCACTCGGTTCAGAACAACAGCCTACCATCCACAAGCAAATGGCATGGTAGAGCGTTTCCATCGACAGCTGAAAGCTTCCCTTTCAGCTGCAAACATACCTAAGTGGATCGAGGCTCTGCCTCCAGTCATACTAGGTATTCGTAACGCGTTAAAGGCTGATGCTGGACCCACCTCTACAGAACTCGTCTATGGGACTACCCTTCACCTACCAGGTGAGTTTGTTTCCCCTTCAACTTTCAAACATGTTTCCGACAGGACATCTTACGTGACTAGGCTTACAAACGCAATGCGTTCAGTTAGGCCTTCTCCTGTTAGACCCCAAACGACGGATGCCTTTGTTCACCCCGTTTTACAAAAGACATCACACGTGTTCATTTTCCACGATGACGTTCGTCGGCCACTTGAACCACCCTACGATGCAGCATTCAAAGTGATCAAGCGGCACGAGAAATTCTATATAATCGAGCGAAACGGATGTGAAGATACTGTTAGCATCGACCGTTTGAAAGCAGCGTATTCCAAAGGCAACCCCATCATACGTGACGTTTCAGCTCACTATAGCCGACCGGCGGATGACCCACTTGTCGAGATTCTTGACAATGTGCCTGGTAACACACAGACACAACAACCACCGGCGCAACAAAAAGCACTATCAGGTCGAACCGTCAAGTTCCCGGAGTATTTGAAGTCATATTCAACCAAGCAGTGTGAAATAAAGTGTGCCAACCACTTTTTAAATTCAAATTTATTTTTCTCGGGGCACCATTTTTTTATTTACTGGGAATGCGAAAATCCTCCTACATTTTACCTTTTAATGTCAATTTTCTACTGCCACGTAATGAAACATTTTCAAAAAAGTGGATAAAGCATAAAGTCTATTCTCGATATATTTGTATATAAATGTTTCCCATTTTTACGGGACGTTTTCGTGGTGTTAAAGACGTTTATTTATGTTCCAGGTGCAATGAGCACTGAACGGAATGTCAAAGGACATTGAGGATCGCGATCAATGCACAATCCGATTTATTGTATCTTTTATTCGCCACGATACCATAGAATTATTCCAGACGACCGAGGGTCGATTCTCGAAGAGAGCCCGTCGGAAGAGTTCTACCAGTGGGGAAACCCCTGGGTTTTTACTCCCGGCTGGTATTGTCTTAGGGTCCTCATGAACCAGCTAGGGAGGAGTGATCTGTAGAGTGACACACTTCTCCAGAATCGATAGCCTAGGGTTTGACACGATTCAACATTGATGCCCACCTTCAGAGTTTAACTGGACTCGCTAAGCTGAATGCAGTTGGTCTAGAGGCTGGCTGTAGTTCGCAGGTGTTTTTTACTTTAGTGTTATATCTTTAAGGATGGAATTTCGGGTGTGTCTAGTAAGACAGGTATTTAGTTTATGTATGGATAGCTTTCCAATATTTAATTGCTCATAAGTACTGGAACTTCACGCTTCACATCACTTTAAATTCACTTTTTGATTTTATTCCTTCTTTACTCGCGGGTGTTTTCTGTACCAGTGGTAATATAAATAATAATTTTGCTGTATTTTGTGTTATCCTTCTTGAGGTAAGTATGTATTAACAATAACGTGTGAGAAGTTTTTTGCTGACCTCAACATTTTGATGGCAAGTGAAATTGCCGTTATTATGCTGATAGTTTTTGAAGAACTGTCAGTGGTTGCAAATGTAACTTAAAAAATGATTACGAATAATACTTGAGAACTAGCAAACAGACAGTTGCCTACTCTACTAATAATAATAACTCTAGAGAACTGTATATGGTGTGACGGTTTATTTCAGGATTTTGTCACTGAAAACACTAACGTTCAGATATTGCCTGTAAAGATGGCATGTTTTCGTACAACTCTTTATTCAAAATAAAAATAATATTGCCTTTATAAATCCTTTGTATTAATAATTGAATAGGTATTGAAGGTATCCTGGCCAACAATGGACTACTCCGGGATTACACAAGTAAAAATACATCCTATACAATGAATTAAATAGGTAGTCGTGGGTTTTGATACAGCGCAAGGAAATGAAGCCTGTTTTCGAGGATCAGTATGCATAGCAATAGACGTTTGGGCCTAACTTCAGCCCTATGTTTATTTATATGTGTATATACATATATTTTTTCATGCGTGTATTTGTAAAGAATGTTGCTTTTATGAAAATGAATTTCTAGGGAACCTGCTAGCGCTCCTTTAATTGTTATCAGGCTGCATAGGGAAATACTATAGTGCATAAGGACAGATGCCGCACAAGCAAGACAAACGCTAATGTCTTCCATGTGGTAGGTAGTTTTCACTAGGTGACGACCTCTGAAGTGGTCACATAGTTAGCAAACCAAACTTTCTGTGTGATGGTTAGCTTAGCCACTTGACTGATCAGGCTTTCGTTGACGTGCCTGGGAATTACAACGCACTGGTTGTGAGTTGAATGCCTATACCCATTGGTCATGATATAGTAACACAAATCTTCCCATTTCAACTGCCATCACTATAACCCATTCTACTTTCCGCTTCAGTAAACAACGAAGAAGGAATACGTGGAAATTTTATCTAAGGAGTGGAACAATATATACACAGGTAGTTAATAGGTACTCAACAGTCTGTGAGGTTTCTGAAGATTAATGCTGTAAGTGGCGCTCCTCATGAGCTCAAGTGAAAGTATCTAGCAGCAGTCCGCGTGCTCTTTCCGGGTTTGACTGGGCCAGTAACTGCATTTCATACATCATTGCAGAAGTGAGCATTCTCAGTTCTCCAATGTCCATAGTAACCTGCTTACGTTCAATATGCATGTGGTTATAGCACATGAATCAAATGACGGTAGGGCATGAGCATCATAGTGCTGGTGTAGCAGGAGCATTTACAGTCAACTACGCAGTACTTCTGCCCTTCTTGAAAGACCATGTACGCCTCTGTGAATTCAACTACCTGCATATCTCTATGCTCCAGGATACTTTTGTACACATAATATACTGCGTAGTTTGTCAGAGAACGTGGCATATCAGAGGTTATGTAGCCCGTCTATAATTAAAGGACTTACATGAAAATGCATGTAGTAATGCAAACTGCGATTTCCCTCATTGGCCTTCCTGCGATATAGTTCCATGGAAAACTTCCAAATTTCGCGAATGCTTAACTGCAGAGGAAAACATTTACACAAATGTTTCTTCAAGTGCGTATGGCAGCACTCAACTCTGTTGTTCGTTTTGTTACCTGGGGTAACAATATCCTGCATGAGGCATGAAGCCCACATATAGCGACTGGCCCACAGATTTACTTCCATGTAGGCAAATGCTGCCGGATGTTCTGTTCTCATAGCTAGATTCAATTCATTAGATCTAAGGAATTATTATATATCAGTGACGAATCCTGTCAGGGTCACGAGTTTACACCATTTCCCGGAACATAAGTTTACTTTTCTGATTACGAAACTGCAAGGTTCTGCTCTTGGTATACAAATTACCTTATTATTAAACGAGCATATAACATGAAAGGCACATATGACAATGGAACAGTATGGTTCCATAGGCATCAGTAGCTCTGACGACAAGTCGTGGTTGTATAGTGTTAACAGGTTCAACAACTTCATAACGCACAAAATTCAGTTTCATTCGGAAGGTGAACGGGCGACCCAAGAACTTAGATCTGTAATGCATATGTTATGGCTTCTATTACAGCACTTACTGTGATTTTCGCTGCTTACTGCCTTCTGTCTCTCTGCACCGACCAACATGCCAACGAAAAACAGCAAACCGGTACTTATATGCCGGGTCTACATGATTGTTCTCGTCCCTATTTAGGCGACAATCACAAGTCCTATACGGATTGTTAGTTTCCTTTGGCATTTAATGATGACTCCACTAATTCAACAAATTATACTTTCAAAATGCTTAATGCAAGCTTCACAATCCGGGCATATTTGTAAGTTTCTGTTTATAACAAGTTGTCTGAATTCAGCTACCAAAGCTACTGGTTTAACGTTCGTTCTGAGGGATATTTTAATATTGCTTTACAAATGCCGATTGTTACAAAAACGCATCTGTTCAGAGCAAGAACCAATCCTCGATGTTTCCAAAGTTAGAAAATGCTGCTTAAGCACTGACCAATCAGAAAACGACAACTAAGGCTTTATCTCACTCGCGCGAAATAGGAACTTACATTTTGGAGGTTACAATTACGTCCGGCAACTGGCACCACAGTCAAGCACCCTCGCCGCTTGGCACGATGTCGTGTTACGTTGCGTTGCTCGTAATCGACCCTCTCATCAGTTATTTGGAAAGTATCGGTATCTTGGCACCACCTCGCAAATATACTATCCCACCCGACCACGCTATTGTGTTCTTTCTTGGCCTCGTATTTGTGGGTGTATAACAAGTTCGAATAATTAGTGATTGGCCTCTGCGTCTGTCAAGTTCGTACGTGGATAGTTCCTAAAAAAATATAATCTCTCAGTATGAGATGTAACCTGACAATACTGAGTCATGTAATCTATAAAAGTATACTGCATATCGAATGTTGAGGACTAATGAATCTGAAGATATATCAGTATTCAACAAGTTTGTAAAGTCTACAGATGACAAGTGAATCTAGATTTGGATATTTATATGGACGGCGGAGAGAAATTTGGGTCTGGCACTGCATGGTGTCATGCAGAGTGTATAATTTGTTTAGGTCCATAATGTTGTTAACACAGTCACTTGAATAAATAAAGCCAGGGATGCGATTCTATCCAGTCGCTGTTATCATGTTACTGTGGAGAATATAAGAGGCTTCACTTTCAAATCACTCAATAATACCTCAAGGTCGACGCGTCATACGAGGTCAGTGCACAATAATGTTACAAAACCCATTGGTGCTCAATGAAAGTTAGAAACTTACGGGATCAGAGTCATTGTTACGTATCTTGATATATACTTCCTAAAAAATAAAATACATTAACCACTTTCGTCCAAAAGGTAGTTGTTGATAAAAGAAACCTCTTACAACGAAATATTCCATTATTTGGAGTATATTAGATACACTTCAGCCAATTCCATACAGCAACTACCTGAGCATGATTAAATATGAGAAACCCGCTTGACTTATGTGGCTCAAGATCGCTTGAAAACAGAAGCCAGCCAATTCGATTTGGTGATAGCTTATAGTAACACTGTTATCTTCGTTCCCAAGTGAGTGGTTGTCGAGGCCGAAAGAACTTGCATGTTTGAACGCAAAAGGTATTGAGTACCAACATTTCTAGTTACTCTCCCAACTAGAGCCATGGATTTAGGGGGATTTTTGGCCTGGGATGGATTGTCCAGCTCCTGGTGATCTTGCATCTATAGTTCTCACGTGTTGAATAGAGGTTCTAAGTGTATCTCGGTGCTCAATGTGTTGTTATGATCCACCATCATGATCATATTAGGTGAGAAAAAGAAGCATAAAGGCATGTGAATTGAAGTTAGTTGTCTTAGAATTTGAGTAAGTAATATTGTCAACTAGAGTATCTGAAGGAATAAGGAGCTATATAATCTAATAATATACTTGCAGAATACCTTTGAGGTTTCATGTAGCACATCGCCCACGTCCTAGTTTAAGCTATTTAATAAATGCTTAAAGATGGTGACTTTGTTTTGGATTTGTGTACCAGTAAGAGCTTTGATATGCATATACAGGTTTAGGGGAAGATAGTTACTCTAATCTTAAGGGAAGGAAGAGTAAAGGGCATATATTAGGTCGAATGACCTCAGATATTGGTAGTTTCCATAAGTCTCTGCCATCTCGTGTTAAGCATTTCTGCATTATCCTAGTCTGTCGCTGCTTGACATGTACCTCTACTCTCATTGCTAACCGAAGTAATACGGCTGGCATGGAGGAGGTTAGAGATTGTTGCAGTGGTCATCAGGTACTCGGTGTCGTTGATATTCTTTGTTGTGCTCTGTCTTCGCGCATCCAAAGGCCTCAACCACTCTTGGTCTTCTCACAGACAATGGCGGTTTTTATAAGTTACCACCATCAGATCCGCCATCTCGTGTTGTCAAGCTGTTTTTATATTGTGATATATCTCACGACCTGTCGCCAATACTCTTGTAACATATACTGTCATAAAGTTTCTTTGGAAGAAACCTCTTTCCCTTTTGCTAATCGTAATGTTTCTTGCAGAAGCCTATGACCACTGCACGTTCGCTTTAGTATTGTAGAGTGGAGGTAGGTGGGTACTTGGTCTACAAGATATGCCTAGAGTGAAACAAAAGTTTGAAATATGGGCCCTAGTTGTGATAGGCTAAATTTATTTCCCTAGAGTGAGGAGTAAAAGATTTATTTTTCATAGTTCAGAATGAGTAGGTGTTAAGTAGAGAGATCAGTTAGGCTACGAATAAATGGAGGTTACATTAAGGTTGCTACACAGTTGGAAATCGTATCACATTCCGCTTACTGTCTACTCTAGGTCAGTTATTTTATTAGATTTTGACTTATGCGCTTAGTTTTCGGCATTGTATACTTTTGTCCTTGCCATTTTAGTCTCTCTTGGATCTAGGTGCCAGTAGCACCATTTTACATGGCATTACCATTTGTGATTTGACCGTCAACGAATTGGTGAGAATCGTTAGAGGTGACGTATATTCGCACACCAGAAGCGATAGGAACCAGTTACGCCGTCAACTAGTGTGCAATCACTAGGGTATCTACGGAGGAGGATGTGGGACTAAGTTCCTCTGAAATGTTAGGTTTCAGTGCCAATTGTAAGGGAATGGCGGTAAAGGCAAACCCCACCATACTTTCTAAGAGGGCAGCTAGGAGCCCTAACTCCTGAATTATAGCTCATAGTTTTTACAGTTTATGCTGGACCACACTTTGAGGTGCTCGACAAGGGTGCCATGCCCTCTACGAAAGAGACGTAAATGTTCTAAAGGAGTTGCAGAGAACGGCGACAAGGTCAGTTATGAGCGTGGAAGGCAGAGCTTGTACACAACAGCTCAGACAACTGGATATGTTCCCCTTATCGAAGGAAAAGAGGCGACCTAACAGTAGCCTTCAAGTTCATCTGTCAAGTAGACCACCCCAATGAGACAATGTTATCGGTCCATATATACTTAATTAACATTTATGTCACACCTGACTGCAGTATCTCAGATTTGTCAAATTTTGGTGATGAATTCTCTGAATCTGCTGCTCCAATTCTGGTTGGCTCCTTGTCTATAGTGGAGATTTTAACTCACGTGACTGCAGTTTTCTAGTATCATCGGATCATGAAAATATGGTTAACTTTTCCACTGGTCTTGACAGTACCCTAGACTTAGTATTTACAAGTGAATCTGCCATATATGAAGCCCGTAAACGGACTCCACTGTATTGTACGTCGTTTGCCCAAGGTGTACGGCAAATTACACAAAAAGGCTTTCGGATACCTTTCCAAAAAGTCCAGTACAGATGCTATTCACAAGAGAATATATTATGTTTGTGAAGCAAGTTTATAGATAGACTGGGATATATTTGCTGATGAAGTCTTAGACAGTATCATCAATATCACAAACTATTTCAGATTCTGTCTCGATATTTACTGCCCTGCTGAAACAGTTCATGAGATCTGACGGACTTTCCTCCTCTCATCCCAAGAGGCTTCAGAGGGAAAAGGGAAGGCTGTACAAAAGGAGAGATCACACTGGCGTTAAAAGCTTTAACTGCCCAATTAAGTCTGAAATACAACGCCTGAATACTGTTTGCAACCAAAGTTTCTATTGTGTAAGAACTATCCCATTATAAGGGAATTATTTAATGAGCTTACTGGTAGACAACATGGTCGAGCCACTGCATCCACTGTGAACGTACTCGAACCTCTAAATTTATGAATCAGTTATTAAAGTCCTCGAGTTCCTCCTATACTGATGGGTTGACGATTTGCATGCAAGGGTGTGAGTGCTGGTTCCCCTCCGTATTATGAACTTAATGTATGCTGATTGCCTCTAAAAGCAACTGCGATATACCCCAAATATAGAAAATTTTAAGGAACTTATAATGGAAAAACTGTGTTGTGATGCGTAAGTTTTGTATAAAACATTGTTATTGATCTCAACATTTTAAGGTGTCATTCCCACACCATTTTTTACGGTATGACTAGTAGTCTATTTTCTGCCCCCATTGTAATGTAAATCACCGAGTGGTTAGTCTCACTCTTACTACGCGTGTGCCTCAAATTGAGGACAAGGTCATTCTTCATGTATGTACTTATTCACAAGTTTCGGGATTGATATTATATTCTCGGAGTAATAAACTCTCCCATCATCCATCTTCGGTCTTCTCTCTATTCGTCCCGGGGTTGCAGTTAGTGGCTCGTGTGTACTAAGTTAGCTGTCAGCTAAGCGCGCGTATTATATTCTTTCGGAATAGATAACTATTGGCGTTCAAAAACACAACACTATGTAGCTGACTCCACATGCATACATGAAAATATACATAAAGTTCGAATAGGTCTAAAAGAATAGGGATTTCTGTTTTCTCCAAACTGGATAGCATAGTAATTCCCTTTTCCGTATCTGCTCACGCCCCTTCTTTCCTTTCCCATTTCCAGCAACAGCTGCATGACGACATTTGTTGCTGAACATTAATTACTACTTAGTGGAAATAATACCTGCTCTATGAAGCCAAGAATTATTGGACTGGTGCCAATTTTTAGCCGTTTCTGGACCATCTTCACGATTAACTCACCTACTGGTCAGGATTCTTCAAGCGATGAACTGTCTAAACTTTCACAGCAGTTATAGTAGCACAAATATTCTGAACAAATGATTAAACCAGCGACCAGTTTACATACTGGCTCGGAACGCTGCTTACCTCCAGTAGCTCCACACTACATGTTTTCTAGTACTCTGTATCAAGTGATCTTTTCATACGAAAGTTACTATGCATCAAATACACTTCTGGAATTATGCTGCTCACGCTAATACGAAAGATCTTTCGTACCGATGCCTGAAATCTATGTGCAACTAATGCCATTTAGACGATTAACCGTTTCAACATCTACTTCCATTCAATACAACAAATATCCTTGGTGGAATTAATCTATATTATCTTTCAACATAACATGGTTACCAGGAAATGCTTTTTAGGATTTGTCCTGG